CCCACCTGGGGGGACACACAGCGGGGTCAACGCCCGCCACGACCCCACGGGGGGGGCTGTTGGGGACACGATGCCCCAAAGCCAGGGGGTTTGGCCCCGTTTTGGGGGGTGGCTCACCCAGAGGTAGCCCTGCGGCAGCGACGTGCTGACGGCGGAGAAGCCCAGCAGCGAGGACTGCACGGGGTTGTGAACTGCGGCTCCGAGCTGGGGACACAGCAGGGCAGCGCCCCAAAATTAGCCCAGCACGGGCAGGACAGCGGCAGACACCCCAACATCGGGGGTCCAGCCACAGCCCCGCTGGCATTTCCAGCATTCCAGAGGGGACTGCACCAATTTCTGCCCTCGCGACCGACTCGGGACACTCCGTCCACTGCGGGATTTCTGCCTTTCCCCCCCAGAAAGATGGAGGGAAAGGGGTGATGGAGAACCCAAATTACCCCAACACAGGTAAGATAGCAGTGGACACCCTGAAATTCGTGATCCAGCCACAGCCCTGCTGCTATTCCCAGCTTTCCAGGGTGGGCTGCACCATTCTGTGCCCTTGCGACCGTCTTGGGACTCCCCGTCTGGCCCCCCCACTGTGGGATCCCGGCCTTTCCTCCCCAGAATGAGGGATGGGAAGGGAAGGGGGGATGGAGAAGAGGTTGCTCGTGGCTCTCACCTGCAGATCAAGGGCTTTGGAGGAGAAGGCTGGCATGTGGCAGGAGAGGATGGGGCACCAGAACGGGGCTTTGCTCTTCTTGTCTTCGTCGGGACAAAGCCAGCCCGGCTGGTTCTCCTCCCCTGCGGAAAGACAAGGAGCTCGAGGGTCACCAAGACCCCAAGAAGACCCCAGAATTTATAACTGGAGGTGCAGGGCTCTCACCTCCAACCCCAAACCACCATTACCCATGGATTTGGGATACACCTCACCCCGTGCTCCCAATTATTGCAGCACACAGCCAAGGAACCACCTCCGGCAGCAGCAAAAAAGTCCCAAAAATCAGATATAGAAGAGCAAAAAAACACCCCCGATGTGTTTCTTCACATCAGGCTTTAATGTGTTTTCATTTCTAACTCATGGATACAGGATTATCCCCCAGGATAAAAAAAAGGGAAAACAAAACACAAACTGTTAAAAAACAAGAGACTCATAAATTATTCCAGCCCAGGGGGATCTAAGCACTCAAACAGAATTTTAAATTCTTTTTATTTTCTTCCGTTAAACTTATTTTTGCTGCTGCAGTGTCTGAGGGAGTTATAGAGGAATAGGGATTGGGAAGGGGCAGGAGGCTTCTCCCTTCCTCATTCATCCCATTGCATGGAAAATGGGTCAGCCCCGACACCACTGCCATGAGAGCCAACAGAAATCCATCCCTTTGTGACTCCAGCCCGGAGATCCCACCCGAGAGCAGCAAATCCCAAAGCATTTGGGGCTGGAACTCCCCATTCCCACCATTTCCAGCATGCAAATCTCCAAGATGTTCTCCATCACCTTACTCCCAAAGTTTCCCCCCACCCCGCCCTGTTTGGGTTGGGATGCTCCGAGCGATGCCAACCCCTCTCCACTCCCAAGCCTGGCTTTTCCAAGGAATGCTGGTGACTCACTGAGGCCTATCTTGGCCAGGTGCAGGCGGTTCACCCAGGAGATCTTGCTCAGGGGGCTGGGGGTGATGAACACGACCATGACGCTGATGGGGCGGCCGGACCTGTGCGGGCACAGACCCCCGGGTGGGTCTTCAGCCCCTCGGGGTGCAAGGAGCCCCCAGGACCCCACACTCGTGGGAGGAGCCCCCAGGACCCCCCACTCACTTGTCCGGCTTCCCGGGCAGCAGCAGCCGCAGGCGGCACTTGTTGGCAGAGTGGATCTCCTCCTCCTTCACCCTCACCATCCTCTGCAGTGCCAGGCACCAGTCCTGGGCCACTGTCATGTTCAGGTTCTGGGGGACAGTCACACATGGGGGAAGGGCCCCCAAAACCAGCCTGAACCACCCCCAAACTTCATCCGTGGGGCTCCAGAGGAGGCGTCCCCAAGGTGTCCCCAGCGACCCCCACAGAGGTGCCCAGAGATCCCAAAGAGGTGCCCAGCGATCCCCCAGGAGGTGCCCAGCGATCCCCCAGGAGGTGCCCAGCGATCCCAAAGAGGTGCCCAGAGATCCCAGAGAGGTGCCAAGGAGCCCCATGGTGCTGGGAGGTGCCCCAGGCTGGCTGTCCCCAGACCACACCCTGGCAGTGCTGGGACCGCACAGGTACCTGGTAGGTGCCATGCAAGGTGCTGATGAGGAGGGTGATCTGCTCCACCACTGCCAGGTCCTTCTGCAGGTCCTGCAGCTCCTGGAAGAGCCGTGGTGGCCCCAGGTAGACTTTGTCTGGGGAGCAAAAGGGGAGAATTGAGGTCCACAGAAGATCCCAGAATCAGTAAGGTTGGAAAAAACCTCCCAGACTGAGTCCAACCTTTGACTCAACACCACCATGTCAACCAGACCGCGGCACTGAGTGGTCCTTCCTTAAAGCCCTCCAGGGATGATGTTTCCACCACCCCCAGGGCAGACCATGGTGTGACTTCTCATGTGGAAAAATGGAGAATTGAGGTCCATGGAGGATCCCAGAGACAATTAGGTCAGAAAAGATCTCCAAGATCAAGTCCAACCTTTGACCCAACACCACCACAGCACTAAGGGCCACACCCAGTCCTTCTTTAAAGACCTCCAGGGACGGGGACTCCATCACCTCCCCAGGTAGCCGTGGTGTGAGGGAATGCTCCATCCCAGCCCCCCCAGCCCTCCCGGCCTGGGATCCCGGGATGTGCCCTCACTGTGCGAGGCCTGCCCGGCGGGCGCGTGTCTGCGGGCGCCGGCGTTGTGGATGACCACGTTGTCCTTGTCGTAGGCGCCGCCCTCCTGCCCCACCTCCACCACCTGCACCTGCGGGAGGGCCGTGCTCCACTTCAGCACGTATTTGGGCCCCAGGGGCACCAGGCTGCTGATTTCCAGTTGGCCTCTGCCAAGGGGAGAGGGAAAAACGGGTGTCAGTGAACAGCAGGTGCCTCAGCTTGCCCCGAAACACGAGTCGTGCAAGCCAAGCCCCATCTGTGAGCCCACCCCGTGCACCAGTCCATGCCTGAACCCCCAGCCTGGGGCACACAAGCACAGCAGACCATGGCTGGGACCTACCCTGTGTCCACCGGCCTGGAAAAGGGGAAAAAGGATTAATAAAGAAGTTTTAGGAGGAATTTAAGGAAGGTTTTCCCCTTGGCAGCATCAATCTCTACCAAGCCCTGAGGTTCCAGCATGTTCCCAGACCCTGCACTGACTCCAGCACCAAGGAATGCCAAGGCTTGGCATGAACAGTGCCAAGAATGGGGCAGAGAAACCCCAAACCAGGTGGGTTCCTCCCCAAAACAAGACGAGGTGGCCTTTAAAGGTTCTGTCCCTCCTTGTGGTAGTTCCCCAAAAATCCCACCAAGTCAAACATTGAGGTGGGGTCGGGGTGGGTTGGGTATATCAGCACTTCACTAAGTGATTTTGGGGTCTGGGGGGACCAGCACGTACTTGAAGTTGATGTTGGCACAGACCAACATGTCGTTGAGCAGGAAAACCTTCCTCTCCTTGGACTTGATGAGCTGCCCACGGTCCCCGTACACCGTCTCCGTCAGCGTCTCACAGAGCAGGAGCTGCCTCTGCCCCGAGCTCAGCAGCTGCAAAGGGGATGGAGCGGGCAGGGGGCTCAGCCTGGGGGCTCCTGGAAGCCTCCTGACCCAAAATTTGGGTCAGTTTTCCATTATTCCAAGGATTTTCCTCCAGCTGGGCGCACGGACAGTCCCGAGTTCCGTGGAGCAGGACGGGCACCGTGCTCCGAGGCTGCACCCTCTGCACCCCATGTGTCCAACCACCTTTCTCTCTTCATGCCCCAGATCCAAATCCTGATCCCAGTGCCGAGCCAGAGGCTGCCCCGCCGTGGTTTTTGCCATCCCCAGCCCAGGATGTGTCGCAAGAACTTTGGGTTCTTTTTTTAGACACAAACAGTTGCAAAATCAGGGGGATGAGACCCAGCAGCTCGTCCCGGAATTTCCCTGCGCCAATGCCAAGACTTGGTTTTGATTAAAGTCCTTTCAGGGACAGCAGGGATCTGGTTTCCTGAAACCCCTGACACCAAGAGGAAGGTGGAAGCTTCAAGCCCCAACCACCAGCTCCAAAACACACCCATGGCTGAAGGACCCACCTTGTTGAGGCTGCTCCTGTCGCTGATGCTCTTGCTGAGCTGTTGGATCTCGGCCACTTGGTCGGCCAAGCGCTTCTGCTCGTTGAGCTTCTCCGCCAACGTCTCCAGCTCAGTGAGGGCCAGTTGGAGGGACAGACGGTCTGCGTGGCCCTTGGGGGTGTTCTTCAGCATGTCCTGGAGAAGAGAAAGGAGGGGGGGACGAAAACCACCCCGGAAAAATCAGCCCTGTTCGAAAGCATCTCCAAAATCAAAGCTTAGAAGATGGTCCTTGGGATGGTCCCCAAAGGTGCAACCAAGCTGCCAACCCTGAAACGTGCCCCACACCAAAAAAGGGTGCAAAGACACGTCCCAGGGGTGCAAAGCAAGGTGGGTGCAGGTACCTCCCTCCCATACCTGCAGGAGAAGGATGAACTGAGGGAACCTCTGGATGGGCTTCACCATCAGCCCGTAGAGCGTGACCCGGTCAGCACTGGCCATCTGCCTCTTCTGTGGGGGGACAAAGGCCAGGAAAAAAGGAGTTTTCACCCCAAATGGTGCCCAGCAGCACCATGGGCCCACCTTTGGGTGGTGCTGACCTTGAGGAAGTCGAGGAAGGCGGGTTTGGTGAGACAGGCCTTCTTGATGAGGGACATGGCCGAGGTGAAGTTGTTGACGTAGTCACTGTAGACATCCAGCACCATGGACTTGGAGAACTGGGAGAGCACAGGAGACCGGGATGGGGTGGGAGTCCCCCAGAAGTGGGGGGTTGGCATGTTTTTGGGGTGATGCTGAGGGTGCTGGTGGGACCCCAGGGCTGGAGCTGCGTCGCTTAAATCCTCCCCCCACTCCCTGGTGTGGCTGGGAGGGCCAGGGGGGTTTGGTGGTGGCTGGGGCAGGTTCCACCCTAAGCAGGCCTGGAATCCAGGCAGGGAATGCAAACCCCACCAGCTCCCAGCCAGGGGGGCTGTGCTGAGCTCCTGCTGCTGCCAGGAGGGGTTTTGGGGTTGAGCTGTGTTAAAACCAGCCTGGTTCCCCAAACCCCAAACACATCCTGCTCTTGGCAGCAGGACTGGACAGATAAGCTGCTCCGTGCCCTGGAGATGTGTGACCAGCAGACTGTTCTACTATAAAAACCCAGGCCACTTTCACACAGGAGGTTTTCCAGCATAACCCTTCTTGGGGTGGTTGTGTGGAGATCCCTCCCTCGGGTGGGGACAATCCTCAAGGTTGAGAGAAAGAAATCTCCCCACAAACATTGGTCTAGGTGAGTTACATCAAACCTCTACTTGATAATTACTTCTTTTCGCTTTAATATAATTGCTCCAATAATTGCTTTACTATCATGCTCTATCCTATCCTACATTAGTAGATTTAGCTTTTGTATTGTGCAGTAAATAATTCTGATCGAGATATTTTGTCTGATCATTTGCAATAATAAATAATTCATTTTACATAAATATCCTCAGTTTGCCAGAGTGAAAACCTGCAGGACAGAAGTGGTTCAATCCCCCCTCTCTAACTGCTCACATTTAAACTGGTGACACAATCTGAGGCTAAGATGGGATCCAGCTTCATCCCCTCGGAGAAGGCGCTGAGGAAGCTGGGGGGGCCTTTCTGCACCTTGGGACTCCAGGGCAGGGCTTCTTAAATCACCTGGTCCAAGCCTTCCACTCCCACCCACAACAGTGGGGGGATTTCTCCTGGATTTCACAGAATCACTGAGTTTGGAAAGACCTCTGAGATCATCGAGTCCAACCTGTGACCCAAGCCCGCCTTGTCCCCCAGACCATGGCACCGAGTGCCACGTCCAGGCTCATCCTGAACCCCTGCAGGGACGGGGACTCCATGGTCCCAGCCCCTCCCTGGGCAGCCCCTCCCGAGGCCCCACCAATCCTTCTGGGAAGAGCCTCCTCCTCCACCCCCTCCTACCGAGGCCACGAAGAGGTCCCCAATCTTCTCGGCCGAGTCCCACTCGGCCACGCGGGAGGCGAGGGCGATCTGGAACATGGAGTGGCACTGCAGGATCTCCTTCAGCCGGAAAAACACCACCTGGCACTTCCTGGCGCTCAGCACCTTCGGCTCCATCTTCCAGAGTGGGTTCCTGTAATCCTGCGGGAGCGCCGGAGCGTCAGCACCCCGGGATCCATGGAGACACCCCCGAGGAGCCCGAGCGGGGATCCCACCTGCAGGATCCGCTTCAGGGAGTCCACGTAGCTCCGCTCGCTCTGCACGATGGAGCCCAGGATGTGCCGCCGCACCACCTGTGGGACAGGGAATCGGTCAGGATGCCCCAAACCCCAAATGGGGGGATGGGAGGAGCTCAGCCATGGTCCCAAACCCCAAATGGTGGGACAGGAAGAGCTCAGCCATGGTCCCAAACCCCAAATACTGGGATGGGGGGCTCGGTTGTGGTCCCAAACCCCAAATACTGGGATGGTCCCAAACCCCAAATACTGGGATGGTCCCAAACCCAAATACTGGGGTGGTGGGGTCAGCCGTGGTCCCAAACCCCAATCCCAAATCCCAAACACTGGGATGGTCCCAAACCCCAAATGCTGGGATGGTCCCAAACCCAAATACCAGGATGTGGGGGGGTCAGCCATGGTCCCAAACCCCAAACACCAGGATGGTCCCAAACCCCAAACACTGGGATGAGGGGCTCAGCCATGATCCCCCCACCCCAAAGCCCGGGATGGGGGAGGTGCAGGCCCGGGCAGAAGTGCTGACACAGCATCACTTGCTGCTGCCTCGCCCTGTCCCTGGTTCCTCAGTCATGGGACCAGGGAGAGCCAGTTCCCCCCAGATCCCCCAAACCCATCCCACCCCACCTGCTGCGGGCTCAGCCCCTCGGGCATGGGGCCCAGCTCCGGTGGTGGGTGCTTCATGTCCGAGACCGTGACCTCCAGGAACCCCGTGTCCTCCTCCTCCGAGTCCCCTGCAGGGAAAAAAAACCCCACAAAATGCCAAAAAAACCCTGATTTTAAACTTTTGGAGGTCTGGAGCTCCACTGGCTCCGTGGCAGGGGGTGTGTTTGGGTTTGGAGCCAAATCCCAGTGTCCTCCCTGAGCTCACCCACAGTCACCAGACACCAGGATGAGCCAGGCTGGGAGCAGGGAGAGGACAAGGAGAGTCCTCATTCCCAAAAACCCCCCCTGGCTGGGAAAAGCCCCCTGTCCTCTCTCGCAGGCAGTTCGGAGCAGGAAAGGGGGAATCAAGAAGCCAATAGGCAGCCAGCAGAAAACCAGGGAAGGGGAAGCACGGGGCTCCCACCCGAGGCGAAGCATCAGAGGAGGAGGCAGGCGCGAGGCGAGCCAAGAGGCAATCCGCGAGGGAAGCAGGGCCGCCGCTTCCACATGGCCCCTCCGCCCCGGGCCCATCCCGGCAGATATAAATAGCCGGGAAGGGGGAGGACCGGCCGGGCTGGAGGGGAGGGCGTTGGCAGCCGGGTGATTTTTTTCCTTCCCTAATTTTGGCCGGGACAAATCGCCGCCCTCGGCTCGTCAGCTCCACCTTCTCCCCATCCCCACGTGC